TGTTATCCATCCACAGTGATATTGAGTTCCATTATCTTTCGATTAGTGAATTTAATCCTAACTGACAGCAAAAGAATAAAGATGTCCGCTATAAGCACTGATTGAATTAAATGTTGTTGTACTTGATATAGTTCTGGAATGAACCAGAATCCTGTAAGAAATAATCATTATATAATGCACATCAAAAAAAGACAATTTTGCCGTGTCGAGAACATTTTTCGAACACAAATGTTTGAAAACAATTATTCGAAAAACATTAATTTGAATTGTAAATTGTTTGAATGAAAATTAATCGTAAGGACAATTATATTAAATGATAATTATTCGAAATACATATGTTTGAAATACGTATGTGGTCTTGTTCTGAGAGAGTTAATGCTGATTTACCTAGAATAATAACGCCCTTGAAGGATGGCATAGGGCTTTTTTTGCAGCAAGTGTGAACACAACATTGCACAATATGGAAATTCTTAGACGCTCTTAAAAGAGAACAGTAATTGCAAGAAATTCATATTGCAAAACTAAGAGCAGGTTGCGAAAATATCAAAATCGACAAGAAATTCTGCGACGTAAATGGAAAACATAAAAAATTACTGGCATCCTTTCACGAGTACTTTTCAGTAGTTGACTATTTGCGTACAATATCATATAAGTTAAAATTATAGGGATTTTTCTTACTAAAGTGTTTTTAACAATATTTTTTATCTCGAATAATTATCATTTTGTGTAATTGTCCTTTCGATTAATTTTTATTCAAACAATTTACAAATCGAATAAATGTTTTTTGAATCGTTTTCGAACAATTACATTCAAATAATGTTCACGCAATCTAATTGATTAAAGATTTAATGCGATACACACATAACGTTTCGGCCATTTACCAGCTATTTTATTTTTCTTAACTTTTTTTCACATGCTGTCAATTTTGTTCATGGTTTTCCTCTTTTTTCCCCTTTTGTACTAGAGACGTTTCTTTCTTTCTTAGTACGTTTAACCGTCTGCGGATCGCTTCGTAGTACCAAACCGGAAATCACAGTGAAGTTTTGTCTCCAACGATTTGAGATTGGATTCCAATTCCATTTTAAGCCATTATTTTTTTCTAGAAATTTATTTATTATAGATCACGTTGTATCTTATTAAGCTAGGATAGGATCCTTAATAACTTTTATTTGTTTTTGTATTTTCTCTGGCGATTTAAGCCTGGTATCCTGTGGATTTGCTTTTACTATATTCAAGGTTTCATTAATTCAATACATACAATTGAAATACCTTCAAGCAAATAAACATTCTGAATGAGAGACTAGTAAGCATAAAATAACAATATAGCAATATTCAAATATCTTTAAATCGGAAAGCTTTTTTTTTGTAATACGCATTATATGTTCTTAATTAAATAGTTTGTTTCTGCTTAAAAATCAAGATTAAACAATCCAAGTTTGTTTGATCATAAAACAAGTTACATCAAGTCTTTCATTTAAAGTTCTGTCTTTAAGATTTATTTTTAGGACAGTCTCTATAGAACTGGTTGACGGTCATATCACCTTGAAACAATCTAAGAAATCAATACAAATGGTATAATATTTACATAAAATGGTAATATAACAAAATAAAACCTACATAAAAAAAACACGGATATAAATCTATATAATACTAAAAGTCTGTGATTGTGTGTGTGTTTGTGTAGTGTCTCCCTCCGGCGCATAATGATTTAAGCTAATCTGATTTAAGCGAATAAGATTTTAAAATACGAGTTGTTTATACAGTAACTCCTTTTATTTTAACTTTCTTCAAAATTGTCAACTTTTTTTTTAATTAAAATAGTTTTAAGTTAAAGACAAAAACATAAAGTAAACCTTCTTTATTGTTTTGTCTAGTTTTTTGTCGTGTAATTATTTCAGCTTTCTTTAAACAAGCAATATCTCACTTATTATAAAACGCAGATTGTGTGTGTGTGTGTCTGTACGTTTATATATTGGATCGGATTTCCTACATTTTTCAACCGATTTCAACAAAACTTCACAGGAGTACGTAAAATTACCTTGCGGTGGTTCTGACAGCGCCAAAAATTGGAAAAACACAATTTTTTTTGCACAAAATCAATTTGAAAACACGATCAAGAGGAAAGGGGGACAACTCATATCGAGTTATACTTATTAATATCGAGTTATACTTATTATAAAACCCAGGTTGGTTGTGTGTGTGTGTGTGTGTGTGTGTGTGTGTGTGTGTGTGTGTTCATTTATATATGGGATCGGATTTCCTACATTTTTCAACCGATTTCAACAAAACTTCACTTTTTTTTGGCAAGTAGTGTTTCTTATTGTCTTGCACACTTTTTTCTTTATTTTTACATTCAGAATGCTTTAAAAATTCCATTTACAAGACAATTGTTTATAATAAAATTCTATTCAATCAGTAGACTCATAACGATTGAAAACAATGTTTTTGTTTGAGTTTGGGTTTGACCAATTCGTAAAAAAAATAAAAAAAAAAAATAAAACTAATTAAGACATGCGTGTCCGTCAACCTTAAACAATAATCTTTGTCAATTTTATTTTTCAGTCTTTATGATGGTCGATACTTGATCTAACTCTTTTACTGTTACATCCCCGGGCAACGCCAGGCTCTACTGCTAGTTTTTAGTATTTAAAAAAATTTTTTTTTCATATTTTTAAAAAAAATAATTTCAAGTGAATATGATTTAAAATATGTTTTGGCATATTAAAAAAATATTTTTAAGTTAATCTGATTTAAATTTCAAGTTTATCCCGGAAGTTCTATTCTAATTAAATGCTGTAAATAATCAGTAAAACGTTAAACATGAACTTGTAAACCAAACCAATGATGACATAAATGAATTGAAATATTTAACTGAGTCATAATAACATAAAATTACATTTCAGTAGAATGTTGAAATCTGATTCGTCAGTGACCCAACGAGTCACGTGTATTCTAGTATATCATAAAATTTAGAAACTATGAAAATAATAACATGTACATTACATATCAATATTGCATAACATGGCAAGGTACATTATATAGTTATTTTCCAAGCATAGCTTAGATGTGGGACAAGGCCGAAAGTATGGGGCATCTAGTTAGTATCGAACTCACTTTTCAGTTGTAACTGATCTGGCGAGACAAGCTTGCTAACCATTACACCACGCCGAGGTGCATATAGTTATTTTCTAAGCGTAGCTTAGATGTGGCACAAGGCTGAAAGTATGGGGTACCTGGTGAGGATCGAACTCACTTTTCAGTCATAATTGTTCTAGTGAGACAAGCTTGCTAACCATTACACCATACCGAAGTGCCACAATGACATTATATAGGCTTGCAGTAACATTAAGTTTAAACACCGGTTTTCATCCAATCAAGGAAGTTAAGCAACGTTGAACCTGGTCATTTGGGTGACCGTTTGAGAATACCAAGTGTTGGATATCCAAGTGCTGCAAGGGATAGCGGCACTGAAGGAGAAATCCGAGTTAGAATTGCAGTCGAGTTTGTTCTGTTCGCTTACATACAAATACCCTTGAAAAAGGTATGAATCCATCTCTCTCCCCCCAGTTATGGGTTCAATAGTAGAGTATACTTGACTCATCAGTCTTTTTTGGAAACCAGAGAAGGAGAAAAAGAATTTTGACTTAAAAAAAAATGTATTTACCGCTGGCGTATCACTACAGAACGTGGACGAACATGGCTCACAACATCTTCTTACCATTCATAACTTGGACCTATTTTAAATGTGAATTAAATTTAAGCGTCTAATGATTTTTTTTTCTTTTTCTTTCAGATTTAACAACTTATGTCTTTGGAGAAGAAGATGAAGATAAACAAAAATTATGTAACTGCAGAAATTCTGTCCTTTTAGTAATAAATGTCGCACTGAATCATTAGTGTACCAGTGCAATATTTCATCTATTGAGGATCCAGAGAACGTAAAAGTCTACATTGGATGCACAACGCATGAGTTTAAGAAGCGGTTCAACCAAGATCAAAGTTCTTTTCGGATAAATAAATACCGAAATCAGACGTCCCTATCGGAATATTTCTGGCACTTATTAGAAACCAATAAAACACCTACTGTGAACTGAAAATTAATAAGAAAAGCTAGAATATGTAGGTCATTAAATGGCGCATGTCCTTTGTGCAGACATGAGAAACTATATATTACTAGGTTTATAAAAAATAAAATTTTACTGAATCAAAGAAATGAAATAGCTATTCTCTGCCGACATTGTCGAAAATTTTACATATATATATATATATATATATATATATATATATATAAAATATATATATATCTATTATATATATATATATATATATATATATATATATATATATATATAGAGAGAGAGAGAGAGAGAGAGAGAAAGATAGTGAGAGAGATGAGGGACAGAGAATATGTGTGCGTGTATGTGCATACACATTTAAAATTAATACATAGCCCTTAGTTACATACTGCTTAGAGCTGAATACTGCTTTAATCACATCGACTTCTTAAAAGAAACGTTAACCACAACTGCTTTCGTGACAGGGCACAAAAGCATTAGTGGTTATTAATAATTATTGTTCCGCTAAAGAGCGTTCAAATGTTCATTATGTCAATTTATAAGTCCGGCGCACGCCAAGCAATAGACCGAGTGAACTGAATCCTCAAAGATAACACCAAAAAAAAAAAAAAAAAACAAAAAAACAAACAAACAAAAGAAAGCTGTTGAATTGTTCATGCGCAACTAACAATCAATTGTCTTCAATTTCGCCAGTCCATATATTTCCTTTGTTTCCAGAATTTTCTGCCTTTGTTGAAAGCCTTCTATTTCTTGGCCAGTGAAAATTAATTACAGTGGGAAGATTTTTTTTTTTTTTTTTACATGTTATTAATCGTTCGTTAATTCGATAATTAAACATTAACATTTTAATTGTGGTCGAACGCATTTCGTTTTCGCTTCCAAACATTGATTATTGATTTATGAGTCGTATGAATATTTGGCCAGTCATTGTGCATGCATTAACAATGTTGCAGGCAACGGAAGGAAGGTGCGTTTCTCGTGAACACAGACACGAATCGAAGTATTATACTGAGAATAAATAAACGGAAATCCTCATCCATCATCCGAGAAGGGACAATAATTTGCAACTTCTGGGACAAACGCATTCCACTGACATGAAGAGGAAAGATTATATTGATGGTCAAGCTTGAAAATAAAATGAGTGTAAATATGGCTGATGCTAACCTCCAAGAAAGTGACTTAATGCGCCTTCTCCAAATGAAATGGAGCGATTATATTAAGTCAACTTCTAGGTCTGCCACTAAGAATTTTGGTTCAATGTGTCGTGATAGACAATTTTTTCGTACTAGAATCTATCTTACACATTTATAAATTTACCATGCATTGAATATTGTTGCCATATCTGATCTGGTGCTTCTGCTATGTATTTAGAGATTTCAGATAAAATCCAGAAGAATCTGCAATATTAGTGGTCCTGACCTGCCATCTTGGGCTCAGTCACTTTCCCACAGTCATAACGCAGTCACATAGCTTCCCTGTGCGTTGTCTATAAATATTGTCATGGTAATTGTTCTGGTGTGCTTTTCCTCTATGGTACCTAGACTTTATGAATATAAACGTCCTACCAGATTGGCGGCAAAGTCTCATAATTTTACATTTCAATTGGTTAGCTGCAACCGTATGTTCTATGCTAACAGTTCCTTCTCAAGCTCTTCTTGCTTCTGAAACTTTCTTCTGGCTGTTTGCTTTCTTAGCCAACATTGAACAAAATTTAAGTGAAATATCAATCGTTAATTATTTCTCGTCTTCTTAATTCCTATTCTTTTATTGATCCTTCTCTTTAGAAATGTTTTTCTCTTGCTAGATGTAACCGTAAGTTCTATGCTAACAGTTTCTTCGATCACAGTTCTCGCTTGTGACACTTTCTTCCGTTCATTTGCTAACCAAGCAAAAGTTTAAAAAATGTCTAATATTCTCTCACACTGGGTAACCGTTAGCGTCTTAGTGGCTTGCTTGGGATGAAGTGATTGAAAAAAATAATCTCTAAACAAAACCGTGAAATGGTGCATTACATTCTAGCGTTGAGAGTATACTGTTCCGCGTGCAATGACTAAATTTTGAAAGGTGAGTTGCTATGATATTTGAGCTGTAATATCTTTTTACTCTCTGTCAATTTGGCACTTATACCCTTTGCAGTTTCTACAGAAACGCCATTCCCTATTTGCATTTATGTAGATATAAACTGATTTCTAATATTTAAAATTCTATGAAATATTTATATTGATTCCCTATTTGCATTTATGTAGATATAAACTGATTTCTAATATTTAAAATTCTAGGAAATATTTATATTGACAGTCGTTGCTCGAAGGTTTTACATATAAATCGATGCACAAATGTGTAGCAATATATAAACGAATATACTCGTATATACAGATATAAACAGATTGTTATGCATATATATATATATATATATATATATATATATATATATATATATATATATATATAAAAAAGTGAAGTGGTGGCCTGACGATTGCATCTAGTATGAAACAGACTGTAGCCTCTAAGTGTTGACTTCTACACACGCTCTATCTCTGATATTGAGCACTTTATACAACATCTTAAGACCATATTACTTCATATATATATATATATATATATATATATATATATAAATTAAATTAGTATATATTTAATATTTATGTATATATAAATTAATATAAACGACATAATAATTTAATATATATATATTAAATTATTAAAGTATTATATATTAAATTATTAAATTATTATATATTAATTATAATATATATATATATATATATATATATATATATATATATATATTATATATATATATTTTTATATTAAAAGAACCACTTGGATTATCCTTTCTATTTACAGATCTGATATTATACATACATACATACATACATACATACATACATATATATACACACACACACACACACACACACACACACACACACACACACACACACATATATATATATATATATATATATATATATATATATATATATATATGTGTGTGTGAGTAAAACATATTCAGATGTTTAGATAACTAGACTGATGGAGATAGCTAGAGAAATCATAGATAGAAAGATCTAAACACTTTCACATAAATAGATTGGTTGATTCGTTTTGTATGGTTGATCAACCATTTGCAGGTTATTTAAAGCCAGAAAATACATAATAAGAATTTGTTGGAGATAATATAATAAAAAAAAATTAATGAATTCCTAATTAACCCGTAACTGGCGGAGAAGAGGAGGGCTCGGTAGATTTTTGCCTTTGACCTGGGTCTACTCGGTCGGGTTCTCCACAATAAAATTGACCTTGTGTCATATCGCTTATTAGTCGGGAGATGAGTTAAATATCCTTACAGCTTGAGGTTTTCTATGTCCATATAAATAATATTAGTTTGAATCCCGTGGCTTTTAAGACAAGTTGTTTGATAAATAATCTGATAGTCAACCGGAAAGTGTAGCAGTCGTTTGACTAATGTATATGTTAGATATATTTTATTAGTACTGCAGATACACTTTCTGAATTGGCAGAAGATTAGTATTATTTATTTAAATATTGGGAAAAGTTGAATTATTTGTATCTCTAAGGTTAGATATTTTTATTTCTATTAATTAATTTTAATTGTTTATACTTATCGTAAAATATTCTGCTCTTATTGAATCTATACTTTCGTATGAATGACATAAATGTAAATAAAGTACCGCTTTCTTTGATCGATGCTTCAAAATGGTTTTCCGCGTGTAAACTGTATTGGTCTTAGTTAGAACCATACTTCTAAGAACATTGTGGACTTGCATTACAGTGTCACACGCAAAGAACTGTGCCATATAAGAGGAACCACATTACTTGAGGACTTTCAACAGCAGTAACACCTAAAATGCATAAGACATGTAAGTAAAAAAATAATTGTTTAAGTATTGTTCCTCACTTAGAAGCTCCCATCAATAGTGGAAAGAAGACTTGAGGAATCTATTTTTCTAAAAACAACTGCGTTACAAAAAGAGATTTCATAAATATCAACCAAATAAAGCACGAAATACAACAAACTCTGGTTAAAATTCTGCATCAAGAAACGCTGAATATACAGGGGCAATGAGCTTTAAATATTTACCCGACGGGTCTAGATGAATAACGCGCCAATTTCTTTAGTTTTGGGTTTTATTTTTATGGCTCTTATATTTAAATAGCTCAATTTGTATTGTTTTTTTTAATCATTTCACTCCAAGCAAGGCAATAAAGCCACTAAGACGCAAAAGGTTAATGACGGGAAAAGAATATTATTAAGGGAAAAAAAGAACACAGATTAAGAAGATAGAAGACAACGATTGACATTGCGTTTAAAAATGAAAATTGACTGGAAAGCAAGAAGCCTAAACAGATTACCAAAGGAAGAAATCCGGAGAAGAAACTGTTAGCATAGGACTTACGGTTACATCTAGTATTTTCAATTATAAAATGATTAAAACTTGTTAGCTAATCTAGTCATAGCTTACATTCATACAGTCTAGAAAATTCAGCAGAAAATAATTACCAAGAAAATATTTGTAAAAAAAGGCGTAGGGATTTTAGGTAACGTAAGGGGGTGGGGGGAATTGACTGAAGCCGAGATGCTAGATAAGGACCAAAAAATTGCAGATTCCTCTTTGGATTTTACATAGGATCTCTAAATACACAGCAGAAACAGCAAATCAGATATAGCAGCAATATTCAATGTATGGACGAATGGTAAATTTATAAAGCAGACCAGCAGTTGGTCCAATATAATCTTTCCATTTTATGACAGCCGAAAACTTTAACCGGAGAAGGTGCAATGCATCACGCTTCTGGTGGTTAGCATCAGCCATGCCGATGGAAGGCAAAAAGGCTTCTCACAGACTATTAAAAGATAGCGGTTTCGTTAGTAAGCGATATATGTTGTTTGATCAGGGAGAGACAACGAAAGTATCACTTCTTTAATAGTTGTTAACCTTAATATATTGCAATTTTCCAAGCGTCGCTTAGATGTGGCACAAGGCCGAAAGTATGGGGCACCTAGTGAGGATCGAACTCACTACTCATTCGTAATTTGTGTTAGCGAGGCAAGCTGGCTAACCATTACACCGATTGTTGTGGTCTTGTTGGGGCCAGAAATAAAGACACAAAGAGAAGAATTGAGTTAAACAATTATATTAAGAGAAACAGTAATACAAAACATATACATACGAGCAAGAATGTTCGGTCCGACTATCAGAGCTGAGTGCTGGAAACTACACGGTATTTACTCGGTCCTTCTACTAGGACGAGATGTAAACACAAGGTCTATCTTTAGATGGGGACCCGAGCGCGTACACCCGGGACAGGGAGAAAAATTCCCCTCAGCCACCGCAACCATTGGTTGCGCTGGCCTCGGCGCGAGCACTGATCACTCCCTCTGATACAATGGGAGGGCGCGGTGTCCGGCAGTTGTTCCCCAGGGCTGGGCACTTCTCAGTAATATTTCCCTGAGTTGTCTCTCTGTCCTTTAACAGAGAAGCCCCTGGTCGCACTCTGTCCAAAGACACGAACGCAACTGAAAGATGATAAGTAGACGTGAAATTACTCAAAAAAAAAAAAAAAACTACACTCACTAAAAGGCAGTACCTGCTCCTATTTATAGCGAGGAGAGTCAATGCGTGCATTACCATGACAATTACCTTTTATTTAAATTAATTTTCCATGTAAACCTCTTTTAACTTTTATACTGTAAAGAAATTTGCTATTAGATGTTAAATTTCTTTTATCATCGGTGATCATGGTCCACCACAACTTCCTGTGTTTTGTTACTTGAAACTATTTTTACCTTTTACCAATCCTCTTTGTTTTTTGGCTAGAGATAGTACCTTTGATATCTGTCACGCTGCACCTTTGAGTGGACGGGCATCATTGGTCCTCAACAATCTTCTAAAACTCTCACGTGAGAGCTCCAAGTTACGATGCCCCGGCAAATCATTTCAGCTGGTGAGCTAAACTCACGTGAGTGGGGTGATGTTAACACGGTATCTCTGAGCGAAGGACTTCCTCGACGCAAGTCAGCGGCCAGAGCGGAAAGGTTAACTACAACGGCCACGTCTTCGCGACCAAGGTTAGCCAACTGTTTGGAAGACACCGGCTATGATCTAACAGGGTGACGGGTGGGCTCTGCCAGATGAAAGGCATATCAAGAAAGCATACGTGGAGACCCAGGCTCTGGTACACGACCGCGACAGGTAAATGGATAATGGTCGACACCTCAGCCCGACTCCTTCCAGGATTGAGGGCGAAGAAAGAAGAATAGAAAAAGAAAGAGAAGAAAAAGGAAAAGTAGGGAAGAAGTAAAAATAATAAGAAGAAAAAGAAGAAAAGGCCAAGAAGAAGAAGATGAAGAAGAAGAAGAAGAAAATAAAAAGAAGAAAATAAATAAAACCAAGAAAAAGAAGAAAAGAAGGATAAAAGAAAAAGAAGAAGAGGAAAATGAAGAAGAAAAGAAAAAGAAGGAAGAGAAGAAGAAGAAGAAAAAAGAAAATGGAGAAGAAGAAACAGAAGAAGAAGAGAAGAAGAAACAGAAGAAAAAGAAGAAATAAAAGATGAAAAAACAAAAAGAAAAGAAAAAGATGGAAGAGAAGAAAAGAAGAAGAAAAAGAAAATGGAGAAGAAAAATAAGAAGAGAAGAAGAAACAGAAGAAAAAGAAGAAATAAAAGAAAAACAAAAAGAAGAAAAAGAGAAGAAAAGAAAAAGAAGAAGAGGAAAAAGAGGAAAAGAAAAAGAAGGAAGAGAAGAAAAGAAGAAGAAAAAAGAAAATGAAGAAGAGAAGAAGAAACAGAAGAAAAAGAAGAAATAAAAGAAAAGAAGAGAGAATCAAAAAGAAGAAAAAGAGAAGAAAAGAAAAAGAAGAAAAAAAAGAGAAAAGAAAAGATGTATGTCCCAGTAATTCCAACTGTGTCTTTCAGATTGAAATAATTTTCCATGTAGTTCCGATACCACTTAACACTTCCTGTTTACTCGCATTTTCTGTCCATTGTTTCCCTCGGATTAGCGTGGCCAAGTAACCGAGTTTGTTTTCTAAGAAGGCGATTTCTTGATAATATTAGCCTGGCGAGATGATCCCAGGGAGAGTAACCATTGAGTAATGCTTGAAAACATACGAATTATTGACCCATACCTAGAGAGTGAACTGTGTGGAAGATGATTTGGCGCACTATTTTTACCAGCCTTGTTCAACTTTTGATCATGGCAGATCATATGTTTCCTGGAACTAATGTCTCCTCGACTTAGTTGCAATATAAACCAGAGGTTGTCAGTGTGTATCTTGAAGAAAAAACAATGTGACTGTGCAGGTGCCTACAAAAGGGATTTTATAACTACCATCTAACCTCTAATCCATTGTCCATTTAAGACAGGTCGATTATGCCTCTCTAAAAATTTATTTCTTTTTGTTTTATCTGTGATTTGCCATGCGTTCTTGAGATACATACTGGGACGTTTTTCAGTTGCCGAATTCCTGGTTTCAAACTCAATTTTTTTTTTCTAAATAATGTTCTTATGAAGGTTGAAGAGTTATTCATGATAGACAGTTTTTAAATAAATTTGTTGTATTAGCGGTAAAACCAAGAAGTAAAGTTTATGAGTATAAGTGAAAAAACATAACTGTTAACCCAAGACTTGAAATCTTGTAATGACTGAGAAAGCATCTTCTCGGGAGTCTGTTCTCTTAGACTGGTTTCCGTCAAATGCGAGTAGGGAACCAACTCTACGCTGCTATTTTATCCATAGCCAAAAGGACAAGTCATTGAATCGTTATCTTTCCCAAGGACGTATGTCCGAAAGTGAACGTCACAGACAAAACGGAATTTTAACTCGGCTCTCTAAGAGCAAGTTATTCACCGATAATATTACTTCTTACTTGGGTCTTATTCTTCGTAGTTTAGGTAGAACCACAGCCCTGATTCTCTGAGTGAAATTGTCCAGAATTCACTGCCATAAATATTTCTCTATGAAATCATATTAAGTTTCGTAATTAGCGCGAACAAACATTCAAGCTGAAACCTATTAACTGATATTCTATATGCATAGTCGGCTTTTAAATAGTGGATTCACTTTTAGCAATATTTCTTGTAGTTTTAAATGATGTCGACTTGGCTCGATCTGCTTGAGATCCAAAGTTACTAATGGAAAGTAACATTACTGAAAATATATGTTCTCTTCATTTTTCCCCCCTTTTTAGTAAAACAGAAGTTGCTAGGGTCGGGAAGTAATGCCAAAGGCTACGATTTTGAGAAAGGTTACCGCGCCAAAGTTTAGTTTTATAACAGGATGCTGTTGCTTGTGGCTAGTAATAATCTCTTTGTTTTTGCACATAAATTATTTTCTTACTGCTTGGTAAGGTCAGACGAGCTAATTCGTTGAAAAGAATATATTTCATGTATGAGTTAAATAGAGATACGTAAAGGAACAGATGATGACTTAATTAGAAACAAAAGAAAATAAACTGCTAAACAATGATGAAAATAACTAATATATATTACCAAGAAATAATGTAGGATTAAAACAATCCATTTAAATATTACTTTACGCCCCGGATACGAACATAAATATCGCGGATATAGACTTCAAAATGGACATTCCTTATTTAAGTAACTGAGTCTTGTTTTAACATGATTGTTTTCTGTGGACTAATCGGTACAGCACTTTTACAGATATAGAAGTGGTTTCTTTTTTTCAAAGTGCCGCGTCCCTTCGGGACATGGGTTATCAGGATTATTCAAAACTTCCTTTAACTTGAGGTTCTTTGCAGTTTTTCGCCTTTTGCTAAGACTCCTATCTTCTATTATGCCACCGAGCTCAGAAGGTAGGTTGCTTGCTTATTTCCCATCTCTCTTGCTTTCAATATTCCCTGAGAGTGTTAGCTTTTCTAAGTCCTCCATCCTCATTATGTCTCCAAGTAATTTCTGCTTTTCCCGATTCTAAGCATAAATGTTCTTTCTGTTGAGATTTTCTTTAATTCTTCTTTTTCCATAAACTCTTTGGCCATCGCTATCTTTCTCTGTCTCTTTCCCTCTCTCTCTTTCTCCATATATATATATATATATATATATATATATATATATAGGTAACTATACTCGTTTCGAAAAACCTTCGAATTTTTGATTTGCCAATAATCAAATCAATCACGAAGGAAAAAAAGTTTTAAAAAAAAGAAAGAGCTAGAAACATGAAAGTCTGTCGAAAAAAAAAAATCCTTTGTAGATGCAGGTTTGAAGCCCAAAGAAAAAAAGCCCGACACGAGTAAACAACTAACTAACAAAAGAGCTCAATACAACCATAGAGCAGACCTAGATAAACCTAGTGAGCCAGACAAACCTACCCAGGTTTCACCTAAGCGGATCGTCAGGAAAGCCAGCTTTCCCCTGAAACCTGGGTAGGTTTGTCTATATATATATATATATATATATATATATATATATATATATATATATATATATACAGTACGAGGTAAAAAAAATGAATGCACACATAGAAAGTCGATTTTGTATATTTACCAAGACAAGTAAGTAATAGAATTCGTTCATTAATTCATGGTATTAATACCGGTGTACATCTGTATATTAAACAAGTTATAAAATGATTTTGTATTTTGTTGGGTAACCTTTTGCTTTCATAATGGTCTTAATTCTTCGTGGCATGTTATAGACTAAATTCCTTAGGAAGTCAACGTCCTTCGCCAGATTTTTCTAGTATTCTTTGAATTCATGAAAAACTCATCTTCTGTGTTAACTTTCCTATCACGGGCTCGCTCGTCCAAAGGTTTTCAATTGGGTTAAAATCACGACTCTGACTAGCAAACTGGAAGAGTTCGGAATTATTACCCAACAGAATACTAAATCAATTTTCACTTGTATAATGTACATATGTACACCTGTATTCATACCCTGTATTAATAAACAATTCTATTACACACGTGTCTTGGTAAAAATACTAAAATCGACTTTTTGTGGGCGCGTCCATTTTTTTAGCCCTGTACTATATATATATATGTGTGTTTGTGTCTGGGTCTGTGTGTGTACAGGATGCGATGGGGGAAACTTTCGTCATTTTGCATTTTAAATTTTGCGCCAAAACGTTATTTTTATTTTCATTTTTTCGACTCCATAGTATAGTAGGGTCAGTTGGGCCCCGTCTGTAAGGAAAAAGAGCCCCATGACGCAATTCACTTCGCCATAAATTTGGAAACAGCATGCTGTACTGCTTGGCATTCGCGCCGGCAGCTCCAATATGTCTGGGTGTCAATCTGAGGACAACGCAGAGGCTTTGGAAAGAGTTTGAAGTGTCTAATAGTTATTACAAAGGTATGGCAGCTCGTCAATCTTCCTTCGATCGTTCTGAAATGAAAAGAACTCTTGAATTTAATGGTGAATGCTTCAGGCTCGACACGAGACCCCTACATCAAATGCTTTCAGGTGGTACTGATGCGATGGATTAAGAGGGAAACGCTATGTCTGGTAACAGGACTCTGCACCATTCCACCCAAGCAGAAGATCCCAGTATTAACTGTCAGACAATTTCGGCGCCCACATCACCCCTTATAATTGGTCATCTAACTCCTCAAACTGCAAACCACTTGATTATTATGTGTGGGGCCCAGTTGAGCGAGAGACCAATAAAACTCCTTATAACACCAAAGATGAACAGAAGGCAAGAATTATGGCAGTATTCACCAACTTAAACAAGGAGACCGTTCAGAAGAGTTACAGGAGATTCTGAAGTCGTTTGAAGGCAGTGGTTAAAGACAATGGTAATTTTATTAAATAAATTTACTTGCAATATTTTTGTGTAATTTTGCTAAATATATTTGTTAAAATGAGATGTCAATGTTATTTTCATTTTGCGTAAGGCAGACGATAATTTAACCACCGCACCATATATGGAGATATACCCTTCTTGCATATCTGTCCACAGATGATACACACTTGTGAAAATATTGTAAAAAGCTGATAATAATATCCATGACACACACTCTAAATGCATATGTATTTGTACATTTCCTTATATTACACATTGTACGTTATCTAAATATATGTGTGTGTGTTTTTCATAGATCTATGTAACAAAAGCAATAAATAAAAATCATTCTCTCGCTCTCTTACTTTCTCGCCCATTGCTGCTTCCCTTTGACATGGAGCGGAATTGGTTTTGACACTCTCACTGGCAGAACTTTCAAACAAAATCCAAAGCTTCAAGAAACTCACTTTCCTTCAATTCCTCAAAGGCCCATCAGCAAACAATTCCGTTTCAGTGAGAGCGATGCGGGATATTTTGACATTTACATCAATCGAGATATCAATATTTTGCGGAGACGTATGCGTCCTTCATTAGTCTAGTGTCAAGCGGCGGACAATCAATTTGCTTCATTCGGCCTACGTTCTATTGACGGAACGCTTGCTGATATCCAGTCATTGAAAAAGACTAACTAAGTTTTCTGCCGGGAAACCAAACTGTTTGAAATTTTTTAAATAAATCGCTTCACGCAAGGCGGGAGTGCCACTAACACACAAGGGGTTACAGAGAGTGAGAGTAAGAGTAAAGAGGAGTGTTTGGGGAAAGGATAAAGAGAAGGACAGGGATGAAGGTCAAGGCATCAGATGATGTCGATTAACATTACATTTGAATGTTTGAAGATTATAGCTATCACGGAATTCAAGATAGGAAATGTTTATCATTACTGTTATTAAAATTGTGGACTGTGCCCACAGAATCACGAACAAAGACCTGTACCAAATAACGGGAACCATATCACTTGAGGACTACCAACAGCAGCAACAACCAAAATGGGCGGCGCATGTAACTCGAGGAGAAAATAATGATATAATCAAGATTTTGACGTTCCACACTACTTCAAACAAAAGATTAGAAAGGAAACCCCCGTCAATATGGGAAAGAGTGCAAACCTGTTTCCCTAAAACAACTAGTT